CCCCCCCCCCCCCCCCCCCGAGTATTATTGTGAAAAAGTATTATCTTGACGTTATAATTTACAGTCAGGTAGGAAGGAGTTTAAACTTTGGCTGCTCCGGGCAGGACTCTGCTGAAAGATGTGGTGTGTGAGCATGTTGATTTAATTATTATCTTGTACCAGCAGCCGGCAGTTGGGCTGCCTTATTTGCATTCCCAGCAGGACGGCAAGGTGAATAATTTAATTCCAGCAGCCTCTGCCACGTGATGGTGCGAGGAGCCGTCAGCGATGCCTCCCCTCCACCAGCAGACTTCAGAGGGGAATGGAAACTTACAGAAGCGATGTGAAATCCTCCCATCTCCTCCCTTAACCCCGGAGGAACCTCTCGGCGGAGCGATCGCTTCTCCCTTTGCTTTTCCAGGCGTTCCTCTGACGTTGGAGTTGGAAGGGGGTGTGTGTGTGGGGGGGTGGGTGGGTGTGAGCCTGCCAGCCAGACGACGAGCCGAGGGAGTGGGAAGCGGGGAGGGCAGTGAGGAAAAAACTGCACACGCAGCCACGGAGCTGGTGGGAGCAGGAACGGCGAGGAGCTCCGGAGCGAGGTTGGGAGTGGAAATTTACAGCTGCTTGCGAGCGCCTGTGCGTGTTCCAGCCATCCTTTCTGCTGAGGCTTTCCCAGGGGCTGACGGTCGCCCCGGCAGAAGAAGAGCGGGAGGCCGAGTCGGCGGGATCCCTTGTCTCTTGCCACGTGTCGATAACCCGCCCGGGGAGAAGGGGGAATAACGCGGAATCAAATGGAAGCTCAGTGACGGCGGCTGCGGGGAGGCGGCAGACCTGTCTTCAGCACCTGGCCATGGGGCTGCGCGGGGCTGCCTAGGACCCCCCACCTTTCCCCACACAGTAAGTGTCAGCCGAGGGGATGTCCCTCTGAGTGACGGCAACTTACGTGATTTAATACAGAAGCGATGTGAAATCCTCCCATCTCCTCCCTTAACCCCGGAGGAACCTCTCGGCGGAGCGATCGCTTCTCCCTTTGCTTTTCCAGGCGTTCCTCTGACGTTGGAGTTGGAAGGGGGTGTGTGTGTGGGGGGGTGGGTGGGTGTGAGCCTGCCAGCCAGACGACGAGCCGAGGGAGTGGGAAGCGGGGAGGGCAGTGAGGAAAAAACTGCACACGCAGCCACGGAGCTGGTGGGAGCAGGAACGGCGAGGAGCTCCGGAGCGAGGTTGGGAGTGGAAATTTACAGCTGCTTGCGAGCGCCTGTGCGTGTTCCAGCCATCCTTTCTGCTGAGGCTTTCCCAGGGGCTGACGGTCGCCCCGGCAGAAGAAGTTTTTTTTTTTTTTTTTTTTTCTCTCCAGTTAGCACCAGCCTTTTTCGTAACGAGCCACTTGCCTGCTTGTTCTCAATAGTTAACGCTGGAAGCTTTTTATAGCTTTGTAAACTGTGTTACCAGGAGTGGCTTTTTAAAGCAGGCGACCCTAAACAATGCTCCTCCTGTTACATAAGGCGCTGGCTCCGCGACCGAGCGCTCCGTGTCCATGGAATATCTCTGGAAATGGCTTTATTTACAGTGCCGTTTCCAAAAATAAAATATCTGCAATATATCATTTTCCCTCGCTGCTCTCCGCTGCCTGCCTGCCTGCAGCTGCGAGCTGGCTCTCGGGATGCGGAGGAACGAGAGCGTGGCCCCTTGCGTAAGGCAGCGGGGAACGGGGAGAGAGGATGGGGAGATGGAACGTGCGCGTGAGCTGTCACAAGAAACGGCATATGTCAATTAACCATCTCGTTATTTGTAGTCAGTACGTCTCTGTCAACCTGAAATTCTGTGCAGTGGGCTATTCCTGAAGTCGTTATCAGGCACAACTTTCATTGAACTGAAGGGGAGGGTTTTTTTTCCTGAGCAAAGAGGCTTTTGGGGGCTAATATTAGTAGTAAAGTGAAATTACTGCTGTAGTAAATTATTTTAATGTGTTAGGAAGCTATTTGAAAGTAACCCAGCAGGCTTGCTGAGGACGTGGTCAAGTGAATGCTGTGTATTGAAGAAAAAGCAAAAATAGTACTCGCATTCCTTACTAATAGATTTAGAGGAAGTCCTATTCCCTCTTGGCTGCTCCCTATGTTATTTAAATTATATTTCCAGTCGTCATTATTTTTACAGTTATTATTACTACTAGAAATGGAGATTTAACTTGGTTTCTCTTTTACTTAAGTGAAAAGCTATTAAGGGCTGTTACCTTAGAATTGTGTGTACTTCAGAGGCATTAGTTAAGAGACTTCTTTCTGCATGACTGAGTTTTACTATGGACCACAGTTAGGTGTGGAGTTGAGTTCTTATTTTTTTTAGGTTTGAAAGACCTTCATGGTGACAAATAGAAATAAGGTTCCCAAATATTCTCGACTCATCAATCCTGCATATTTGGTTGCTGTAAAATCTGTTGGTTTCTTATCTTCCTAGTTTTATTCAACATAAGGTAATAACCTACTACTATTTAGTTTGTTAGCATGAGTAGGAGCATCTCTACAGCACGGATAATCCAGAGGTGACTGATGCAGGTGTGAGTATGGTTCTACAGGATGCCACTTCTGCATGGGTTCAGAACCTGAATGTTATCTGGCATTTCAGTGTGCAAATATTATTTTATAATAAATATTTTAAAATAATAATAATAGATATGGCAGCACAGGACTTGCTGCAATAAAAGGACACTAGGCGGTGGAGTCAAGCACTCAAAAAGTTCCTAACTTTAATTCTGGCGTTTTCCTGTGCCAGTGTAGGCTGCACTCTGTACCCCACTCAGGATACTTATAATAACTTTCAGTCTTGTTTCATATCATCACACATTTATACCCCCTTTCCCATCATGGCTGCCTCCTTCTTGGTCTGGCTGGTGAACATCTGAGCCGTAGCACCTGCTCCAGCAGCCCCATCTCTCTACTCTCCTTCCATCCCTTTCTTGTCGCCTTGTGCTGGTACAGCTTTTTATAAGACCGTGGGGAGATTGGACTGGAAACCTGTGTGACCTTTTTTTCCCCACCAGGCTATTTTTTGTTAACCTGGGTTGGTTCCCTGGCCTGGCTCACTGTGTGGCCACAGCTGTACCACCCCAACAGAGGCTGTAGGAATGTGAACAGACGTGGGGCAGGGTGGCACCATCATGAAACAAAGCGTTTATCAAGCTGCAGCCTCCATGACCAGATAGCTATTCAGTGTTTCATTTTATCCCCCATGTTTGCTGAGAGGCTATAGAGGTTTTTTTGGTTTTTAATGAATGGGCATTCAAGCACTCAATTAAAAAGCAGAATTATTAATTTCTTTGAGTGCTTCCATAGAGCTATACCACAGCACTTGAGTGGAGCATCACCATGAATGCCTTCAGTTCCGTAACAGTACCAAACAACTACATGATATTATTCTCATTCTGTAGAGGTGGTCAGGTGCCTACTTATTTTCCACATCTGATTTTCAGAATATTTGCCACCTATTAAAAAAAGGCGTTTGTGGCAATGTTGGGCATTGGTGCGATGTTTTGTGTGTTCAGGTGAAGTTTCAGCCAATATCCACCTTCATTCCATGTAGCCAACAGCAAGGGTTATGATGAGTAAATTTTTGAGTTTTTGGAATAGTTTTGTTGCCAAGCAGAGACAGCATTCATTCACCTTGACCATAAAACTGCTCTCTCTCCTGGTAATCTCTTGTCTCTTTTGCAATGTACATTCCAAAATCTGCAACTCATTGAGGATTTGCAGAGAAGTTATTTGTTGTGTAGCCCTTACTCCTGCTTACAGAATGAAATGTGGGTTGTGTGAGTGGACTGCATGGATCGGGCTTCTCCAGGTGATCAGATGGCTTCCATCCCCTGGTTTGAGTACATGACTCTGTAATTGCAACAGCTTTCCCAAATATTGCGGGAGAGGGGAAATGAGAGAATAAGGCATCTCTTTTATTATGAAGGCAAAATTATGAAGAAAGTGTGCTCATTCAGGCCCAAAATATGTCAGTCTTAGGCACACTGGGATGAATGGAAAATGAAGGTCTTTTTTCCCTTAGAGAAGCTCTCACTCAATATGAGTTACTGAATGTTTTGGTTCTGATCGGTAAGTAGATGAAGGTTAGGAACTAAGACAAGACAGATGTCTAATACTTGAAGCGAAGGAAATTTTTTGCACATTCATTTTTGGAAGAGCAAATGACTTGTCTGGAGGAACATCTGCGAACAGTGCATGGACGAGCTGATGTGCCCTCTCTCATTGTTGCCTTTGTGGGCAGAAGGCAACGTTTGTTGCTGAGCCACTTCATAATGGGATGGGTCGGTGTGTAGAGTGATGTTGCCATTTGCATTTTTCCTTCATCTTGCATACAAGCTCAGTTGCACTGTAAACTTTTGAGAAATTCTATGATTAAGAGTGAAGAAATCGGGCAGGGTGCCTATAAACAGGACTAGATCTCTTAGTGTACTTTATAGTTGTATGAAAGAGCTTAAGCTACACTAATTTTATTTTAGTGCATTCCCTTTATGAGCACATAAACTGGCAGAAGAGATATTTTGAAGACCTAGCATAGGCTTTGGTGTTGAGTGACCTAGCTTTCATTACTGACACAGCCACTGACTATTATTTTATTTTATGTGGCCTTGGGATAGTCTTCTAATCTTTCTGTGCTTCGTTTTCTCCTTTGGAGAGCGGGCAGAGTAGCAGAAGGTATATATAGATTTTTATGGAAGTGTGTTTTCTATCTTGGTTAAATGTTTGCAGAGTTGGCGGCCTCTGAGAGAGGCATGCCCTGAGTATGAAGGGGTGTTATGTTACTTTTGACAGGCTACTGAATACCCAAAAGCTCAACATCTTGTAAACTTTGTCCACCTCTAGATTCAACTTGCTGCTTTAGTCTGTGTGATTTTATTTTATTTTTTTTTGACTTGAACAGAAATAGCCAAACATTTAGAAACTGGTGCTTTAAAATTGCCTTTTGGTGTTTCTGTCACCTAAAATAAATTCAGAGCCATTTTTTTTTTCTCCCAGACAAAGACGGAATTATATTCCCTGAAAGATTTTTTTTTTTTTTTTTAAGTATGGCTCATAAAATGTGCTGGACTCTCTAGCTCTGGCGGCTGAAATGTCCTGTTCATACTGATGGCAACAGCAGGCTTTGGAAACCACTGTTCCTCCTACAGCGCTGCCAGGGCGTTCCCCCCACAACCAGGAGAGATGACCTCCAAGGCCAGGAGAGTCGGTTTGGTGATACACAGCTGTTTCTTTCCTTGGTCTCACAAGCTCCTCATGAGAGCACCAGTGAAATAACATCATCACAACTAAATGTTTCAGAAGTTGGCTGGTCCCCAGTTATGAATGCAGGAGCGTCCACAGTGTGTTTCTGATGTTATAAAAACATATGCAGTTGAATAACCATTAGATGGAAAAAGTTTTCCTAGAAAGTAGGAAAGAAAGGGGCTCATTCAGCCCTATCCCTTGCTGCCAGACAGCACTGTCAAAAATTTATGAACAGATGCTCTGTAGTGTGCCTGGTAGGGCAGGTCATTTCACAGTCTCAAAGCTCCAACAGTTGGAAACCTTTATATTTTCAGCTTAAGTTTATTCATTGGCAGTTTATAGCCATTTGTTCGGCATAAATAAAGTGTTATTGTTATTTGAGCTGAAATAACTTCTTGGGTTCCTCTGTATTTTTTGTCTAAGCTTACCAAGGTGAGCAGTTTTAGCCTCCTAGAGATGCTGGTTTTCCCGTTTGTTTGGTCCTTCTCTCCACCCGCTCCAATCTCTGTGGGTTTTACTTGACTGTGGGTGTTCAGGATTGTGTACGATGTTACACATGAAGTTTCATCAAAACTTTGTACAAAGACATGCATACCTTTGTATTTCTACTGGTTACTTTCTTAATTCATCGGGTATTTATGTCTTTCTACTGTCCATAAAACACCAGGGTAGCAGTGGGTGAGTATCTATCTTTGTCATTTCTCTTGGTAAGTCCTCAGCTTGAAGCAGATATTCATAGAATCATAGAACGGTTTGGGTTGGAAGGGACCTTTAAAGGTCATCTAGTCCAACCCCCTCTGCAATGAGCAGGGATTTCTTCAACTAGATCAGGTTGCTCAGAGCACCATCCCACCTGACCTTAAATGTTTCCAGGGATGGGGCATCTACAACCTCTCTGTCTTTTCTCCCATTCAGCATTATCTGATACTTGTCACTCTTAATTTTTATCCCATTTTTATTATCTCAGCCCTTGAGGCCATACAGTTTCTCAGGTAGTGATATTCCAGTCCTCTTCTGTGTTGATAATACCTTCCTATTTTGAGTCACCACAATTTTTGGGTAGGCCCTTATTCCCATTCCTCCCAAAGTAAGATCCTGTCTCCGAATTGCTCTTACCTTCTTAGATGATCGTTCTCCCTTTACATGGTAATTTTCCTTCAATTAGTTAATTTTCTATTGTATTCAATTTAGTGTATTTCCATGTCAGATGCATGGGTTCTACAGTGTTTTCTCTGTCTAAAAATATATTAGTAAGGGATTGATGTATGAGCTACCTTTGGTAAGCCTGTGTTGCATTGTTTTCAGTTGCCGTTTATCTTTGTATTTCAGTTATTTTTAGACTGGTTTCTTGAAGAAACGAGGCTTTTGTGGTCATGCTGTCCATCTCTCATCCTACTTCTCATGGTAACTTCTGAACTTACTGGCCAATTTCAAGCAACCTTGACAAAGGGCTAAACACCTGAAAAATACGAAGTTCCAAAAACTGAACTGAAAATAGGTGATGAAAGGAATAGGGAATTTAAACCAAATTAGTGCCTCTACTGAAGAGAAGACCTTCCAACTTAAAACTTATAGAGGAGAGAGATGATATAAGGAGGAGGACAGGACAAAAATGCTCCAGCTGTGTTTAGAGCTTAAGCAAGAGCTCATGCTGTCTTTGATGCTAGAGAATCCAAGCCTGAGGAGCAAAGCAGGAGGAGAGGAGTCCTTGTTTTGCTATGTGCCTTATGAAATAGCCAGCCATAAGACTAAGGGGTCGAACTCCCAAATCTCAGAAAAGGGACTTTACTCCCGTTTGCTTCTACTTGTTATTTGTGAATAGCATGTGCCCCCTAGGAGATTCCTGCATGGAGAAGCAAAAGGGACCAGTATATATTTTCTGTATGGATCATCTTTTGTCAGCTGCTGATGGGTTAAAAACTGTGTCCCAAAAAAGGGTAAATCCAAAAATATTCTTTGATGCACATCTGGAGCTCTTCCCCTTTTTCTGTCTGTCTCCCTCCGCTTGCATACAGCGCATGCTTTGCTTTGTATGTAAGACTGATAAATGGAGTGAAGCAGTGACTTGGCTCTGTTCAGTGGAGGGATGAACTAAACAGTCTCTTGAGTCCCTTCCTGCCCTATTAACGGTGATTTTGCTGTTGTGATTAGGACACTGGTAGGGTGTGTAGTGAAGGGGAATGGTATTTTATCACTGAGCAGTGCTGTGGTGATTTGGTGGTGAGGCTGAGCTATACAGTGGAATGGTGCTAGCCTGGCTGTTGGAGTTTTGTGGCAAAATTAGTGATTATTTAAATACAGACACCATAATCTAGACAGCTACGTAAGTTAGTTTTGGGAGAAAAATGTATTTATAATTTATAGTCAACATTTCTTTTTTTAAAAATCTCAGAACTTCTAGCTCATGAGTATTTCAATGTAAAAATCAGATTATCTCCCCCCTTGTTTTTGCTTGTGTGGAGACTTCTAGAAGGGGAAGATGAAGGGATATCTTCAGCAATCGGAATAAGCCTACCCCACCTTGGATGAAAATACTTCTTTTTTGAAATGCAATGTGCCTGTTAAGCTGCTGCTCTCAGACTCTCTCTCTTGCATCTTCACATCCTCATGCAGTATCTTCACAGTTAATAAAAACATGCAGAATCAGGTCCTTCTCAAAGTGTGTTGGGAATTAATAATCTTCTAATTGCAGCACATGCAGGATTATAGGGTGCTTGGCACTTTATGTTTAAACAAATTTATTGTATAATACCGACATCCCAGTCTTTTCCAGTGCTAGCGTGTAGCAGAACGTGCCCAAAGGAGTTAGTCATTAGTATACTCAGCCTTCAGTCTTGCACGTTGGCAAGTTGAGGTGTGACTCTGCTCAGTTGCTGGTGGGATGGGGCTGCCAAAGCTCGCAGTTGTGAGCTCCACGGGAGGAGGAGTCCTCAGCTCAGAGCTCAGCCAAGTCGGGAAGGTTACGTAGCCAAAACTGCAGAAATAAAAATGAGTTTGAACTGAACCATGAGGAGCTTGAAAATGGAAATCCAAAAGAGGTGAGCTTTCAGGTGTTGAATTGGAAAATATTTCTCTAAAACTGAAGTAGCAAAAACGAGAAGCTAAATACAAATTCACCTACTCTGGATACTATAAAGGAGCTTTTTTGTTTAAGACATTTGAAAATATTTCCTGTGTATCATAGAAACTTCTCTTGTAAAGATAATCTGTAGAAATATTTTGAAATGTTTTTAATAAGATGCTAGGACAGAGTCTGTATAGGCATTTATTTATTTATTTATTTATTTTAAGTACTCCTCCATGGTTTGAACTTTATACTTGACTGTTTTATATGTTTGCTATTTATAGTTGTAAAACAGCGTATATCTAATCTGGGTATTAATTTCATACGATATTTGGGGATTAGTAACACATGGATGTATGGCACAAATGGGATCATACTTCCTGGTGGACTCTGTAGTGTGTCAGTAGTAATAAGGAGGCGTGAGGGGAGTCGGTGCTTTGGGACAACTGGGAAAACGTTACACCATTCTGCTTTCTTTATACTGTGTGTATTATGCTCATTTATTTCTGTTCTTTAAAACCTTTCGTATAAAGCTTGTTTTTTAAATTGTAAAAGTTGAAGAAGAATAAGGAGTTTGAAGTGGTTTGCATATATATTTATGTTTTCACAACTAGTCTTGAAAATGCGTGTGGAACAATGGTGATGGTTGTCTTTTGTTGAGGAAAGGGATGAAAGTTTGACATTATTTTTGCTAATTTTTTTTCTTTTTTATTTTAACCTCTTTGTTACTGGACAAACCAGAATACAGTCCAGAATGGTGTGGTGTTCTCCCTGGAAAGTGGTACTACCTTAAGCAGAGCATGTCCCCATCTGTAGTCTGCCCACTGACTTCAGTAAATATTGGTATTGGACCCCCAGCAAAACCCATGGAAATTCACAGGTTAATGATATGTGGGATCAGAAATGAAGCTACTTGGTTTCTTTCAGATATATAATAACAGTGTTGTGGTATTTGCCTTTATAACTGTATAGAGGAAGAATATTTTAAATTTAACAAATGCATTTTTTTGTTAAAATGCTCAGTCTTTCATTTAAATGTACTGAAAACATTTGTGTCCATATTTGGGCCTGACCATCTGTTCCTTATTTAATTCAGGCAACGTTTTACACAGGTGAGATCTGACCCACAGATTCCTAAGTCTGTCAGACTTAGGGGGTAGCTTCAGCTGCTGCTTCTCGAGATGCTTTGGGCTGAAAAAAAGCAGCTGAAGAAGGAGCGATGGCAGAGAAGCTGGGGCCTTATCTGGTGATGCTCTAAACAAAGGACACTTTTGGTATGCTGGCATCTGCAGTTAGTTATCTGCATCGTGATGAAGCAGTGAAGTTTGGCATCAGAAATCTAGAGGAGCCTGCCAGATACGTAGTGTCCAAAAAACGTTGGACGTAGGCATAGACTCACTGGAGCACTGACCTGTAGTCCAGGGGGCTTTAGGAAGCATCCAGCTCCTGTGCAGGTGCCACATAAGCTGCTTTCCATGTACTAGTGGTGGTTTGTAACATACATGAGAACTTTTACTGCTCTACTGAGTAGCTGAAGCAAAATATAATTCCTGAGGCATAACCTTTTCTTGTTCATAATGTCTTTGTGTGTTTTTATTGCGTTTTCTTATAAACCTTAAAAGCTGTTTTTGTTTCTTGTTTGTTTTAAGGCAATCTTCTTCTATCCTGAAGGAAGAAATCCAGGTGAAGAAAAACCATGCCTTTGTTTAGTAAATCGCACAAAAACCCTGCTGAGATTGTGAAAGTTCTGAAAGAAAACATGGCCATATTGGAAAAACAAGAAAAAAAGACAGACAAGGTATGAGGTAATGTTGTAGAAGGCAAATAAGGTTTTTATGCCAGGGAAACAGTAGAATAAGGGGAATAAAACTGTGTTTGCTTACTGCCCCTATTCTGCAAGCACGTAAGTATCTTTGTGTTTGAATGGTCCTGCTGAAATCAGAGGGCATAAGGAAAGTACAACAGATCTGGGGGTCAAACAGAAAATGTTGAGATGTAGGAGCCTCAGCCAAAACAAAGGGTGGTCTCCTACTACTTCAAGTAGTAACACATCTAACAGAACAGCTTGGAAGGCTACTTGAAAACTATTATACCATTAATTGATTTAGCAGGATAACAAGTGACACTGCAAATTAATGTGTGGGTACTCACAGAACAGAAACTTACTTCTGATGAACATTGTTCACATAAAACAGGAAACCTGTATGCATGCAGGTGGATATAAAAGAGATTTCACTGTGTCTGTCTTTTCCAATTTTCTGGGTGCTAGTGCTTCCTAAATGAGCTGCACTACTTGTATTCTAATTATAGCACTAGGTTTTTGCTAATACTGTTGCTCTCCTTTAGCACAGTGACACAGCCCGGAGTTACTTTTGCCATTCTTCCAGTGACCTGTAGAGTATACAAAATGCTCCCAATTAGGAATTCATGCTTACATAAAATCAAATAATTTTTTTTTTTTTTTTTTTAATCTGACACTCTGGTTCTCTATATTATTACTGTAGTAGAAGTATATGATTTTAATTAACAGCAAACTTTTTAAGTTAAAACTGAAGGTCAGTGAAAATAGAAATTTCTGATAAGTGACACGAGCACAGTTTTTGTGCAGCTGATGTTTGTGTGCGTGTGTTGTGCTTCCCCCACCTTGTGCAGAAGTCTGCGTTAGAACGAACCCAACCCAAAAGGTAAGCACAGAGCCTTCCTGCCTTTACTGAAACCCTCTTGAAACTTATTGGTTCAAAGCAAGTAGCTCAGTGTGTGTTAATTATGTAAGATCAGTCACACGGATTTCAGGGAGGCCTCTGGTATTTGATGTCTCATGCTGAAATACCTTCAGTTAACTGAAGAGCATTGAGAGAATCTGACTCTGAACTAAAACTTAAAATAAGTAACTAAATAAACCAGCAGAATCTGCCCTCCCCTGCTGAATTCATCTTTTGGAGCCTGATTAAAGAAGACATTCAAAGCAGAAGCTCTAGACTCAGATTTCTTTTCGATTTGCTTTGCAGCATGACTCCTCTGGGTTGTGTTTTTGAGGATTTTTGGCTTTGAGCTGGTTTGTTTATTTGGGTGTCAGTGACAAAGGCGGAGAAATTCAGACTGCTTAGAAAATTGAGAACTCAATGTAAATTTTTTGTAAGAGTCAGAACAGCTGGCATGTGTTTTCTTCACCAAGCAAAAGAGCTTTACCCCAGCGTATTAGGATGGAAGCAGCTCACGAATTTAATAACGACACTCATTTCACTGGATGAGGTTGGTTTTCAATATTTTCTGCTGTGTTTTATTGCTACGGTATGGAGACTGTTCCTGGAGCGAGTGTGGGTGATCAGGGGAGAGGAGGAAGAGGGGACAAGGCAGTCACTTCAGTGACAAAGCAGAAAGTGAAGAAAGCAGCCTTTTTTGGACAGTATTTACACATAGGCTTTACGTGGCTTGTTGACTCAGGACTTTGCACTCCGATGTAGAGGCAGCACACGGGGCCTTTCTCCTTTCAGAAGGGAAGATGTGAGACTCCTCAGTAAGGCTGCCTTTCAGCTGAAGTGTTGCACTGAGCTGTCCTGAAATAAATACCTGTTAGAAAAATCACCAGATTCATGGTCCTGAGTTTAGGGAAGTAAATCATAATTAATACCTTTAGTAAACTGTACAAAATGGCAGGAAAAATAACTCTTGCAAAAACAATCACCCCATCACATCTCTTACTATCCATAGAGGTTTGTGAGCTTAGTAAAACCATTTTTAAGTGTTGTTTGCCTTTTGAATTGGAGAAGAAAAGATGATGGGGAGACTTCCAATGGCACACAGGCTTTCAAAACGGACTCACTTACTAATGAATAACATCTTTCTTTTCATGAGTATGATTAGAAAAATTTAACTGAAAACAAAAGCAAACCAGAACAAAGCACAGTGCTGTACGCTGTGCTCTTCACAACCTGGCAAGGTTTTAAAATTTACCTCTGATTTGATTTCCAAAGGGAGATGAAATGTGTTAAGCTTTCATAAAAGGGCCCAGAAGTCTGACTTCTGCAGGAGGCAGAGACCCTGGGTATCCCAGAGCTGGTTTTGGACCCTGTGGGCCTGTGAATGCAGAATTTTGGGAAGTAGGACTCTCCAGGTTTTCAGATTTCTGGCTCTTTGTCTGTTGTGAGAACTGGAGGGGTACTGTTGTGCCTCACCATAAAACCAAGGTTTCCAGAACTTCTGGGGTACAACTCCACAGCATCCCTGATGTTGCTTGCATGCAGAATAGCTTCCAACTAGGACTTGCCTCAGATGCTTAGACAAGAAGATTTATCCTCTGACAATTGAGCTGTTATTGTAGTACAGCCAATGTGGTATGTGGGCTGAGACAGCTAAAAGCTGCTAATACAGCCAGAATTGGCAGAGAAGTGTGGCAAAGCCTAAATTAACTGCAGGGCTAGCGGAGAACCTTCTCGTTTCCTTTCCCAGTTGAGAAATCTTAAGTACGAGGTGAAGATGCCCTGAGCAGCTGGGGTGGGGGATGCGAGGTCAGACAGGGAGAAGCTTGATGCTTCTAATACAACTTTGTGCAACTTTCACAGGAACCATCTGTGCCTTGGAGGGGCTGTTTTTAAATAATACAGAATTGACGACTTAAAAAAAAACATACTAATGTGTGTAGTGTTGCCATAATGCTTTTTAAACACTCAACTGAAAAATAGGCTAAGTTTGAATGTTTGGTTCTCATTTTTGTTTTATGGGTGGAGTTTTTTGTTTGTTTGCTTGCATGGATGCATGTGTGCTTGAAGCTTTGCCATTTTCTCAGCTACATTCTGATGGTTGATAGACCACAGATTAAGAAGTGCCACCACATGTGGCTCCTCTACCTCTGAAGCGCTCTTTCTAATACCTTATTTTTAATTTTTTTTTAAAATAGCATCTATTTTAAAGAAGGTATTGCAGCACTGCCAAATCTAATGTAACAATTGGGAGATTAAGTAGGGTAAGACAGAGCTGGAAAAGTGGACTAAAGTCTTCTTTATCAACAATCTTTCTCTCTTCCAACATCTGAAATAAATAAGGTGTTCCTGTGGCACATACAATTACTGACATCCTGTTCAGGCTTTGATGCAGTGAAGAACAATTAATTACATTTTATTACAGAATTCTATAAATGCCATAAAATGTTTATCTCGGTCATGCAGAACCAAACCGTGCTTGGATTTAATGAGAAATATCCATTCTGGAATTCAGTAGAAAAGCAGGGAAGTATTTAAATACTTAGGAAATGAAGCCTTCAGAGTTTAGAGTCTCTTCCTTCTTTCTGGCATGAACTCCTGTAGGGAGCAGCGGAGGAGGAACTCTCATATCAAGTGGACAGATCTGTTGAACCCGAGGAAGAATGGACAGCATGTGACACGCTGGTCATACAGTGTATGACTGATACGCTGCCATGTCTTTTGTTGATAGATGTTGTAGAAGAACATAGAATCAGAGACATCTAGGTTGGAAGGGACTTTTAAAATCATCGAGTCCGACCATTAACCTAACACTGACGAAAACCACCGCTAAACCACGTCCCTAAGCACCAGGTCTACCCATCTTTTAATACCTCCAGGGATGGTGATTCCACCGCTTCCCTGGGCAGCCTGCTTCAATCTTTGATAACCCTCCCACCTCACAAAAAAGGGGGAGTGACGTCCCAACTTCTCAAGGCCTTGTGTTCAGCCACCAAGCCCGGTCAGCACAAAGAGGTACAGGTGGCTTCCAGTATGTCACCGAAGGATGTCCTTGAACACATCACCTTCTCGCTGCTAACCAAACACCTTCGGGTGCGGCACCCGTGACTCAGTGCCATCTGCCATGCCTACAGGTTTGGTAACATTTTCTGAACCTGCCCTGCAGCAAAAGCCTTCAAAGTGTCACAGGCTGTTAATTTAGCACAGCAAACCGATCTGGGGTCGGTTGAAACTTGGCCTAGATGGGCTGAAAGACTTGGAGTTTCTAGCACCGCTGATCCAAACTTGGTTTTTTTTTGAAAGATGACCCCAAGTGAGTTAGAGCTGGTCCCAGGTGCTGTGCTGAGTGTTTTCCAGGCAGGCCGCAGTGCCCTTAGTCACCGTTCAGAAATGTACCAAGGCTAGATGTAAAATAACCTGAAATGTCTAGCTTCTTCCCCTTTCACTCAAATATATCTAACGAGACTGCTTGTTCGAGTAGGTCGCTGTAATCTGTCCTCTCTTTCATCTCCACGTACTGTAACAAATTTGGTATCGTTCAGAAGGGTCAGGAGAGCAGCATTTTATTAAGGCTGCAGTTAAAAGGCTTTAAGATTTCCAGAACAAACATTTATATCAATAAATCCAGCTTTTTTTTTTACGTGGCAGCAGTGAAGGCATTATCAGCTCCCGTTCACCTTGCTGGCTCCTGGGCTGATGAAGCGGCTGGGGACCGGTGTGTGAGATGAGGTGTGGTGGGGAGGACGTGCTGTGCATTTGCATGGAAGAACGGTTGCGTGACCGCTGCGAGCGCCGATACCCCTGGATGCGATTCTGCAGCTGCCAAATTCGGCTGCAAAATTGCCTTCGACTTCGTTGCTGTGCACTGAAACCGAGGGAATGAGATAAGAAGGGCTTGGCACCCCTTCCTGCCAGCTCGGCATGTCCTGGGGTTTTGTGGAGCGTTTCATGTTTCAACTTCCCTCTTCTGCTAAGGCCTGTTATTGCTCTAGAGATGGGAGAAACTCCAGATACTATCAGGTGCTGGTGCCAAGAGTTTAAAGCCTGTCTCTTTTGGTTGCTTTTTTCTTATTTTTGAGGACCTTGCAGCCTTTGGTTC